TATATATATATATATATATGATTCTATTATTTTTTTTATACAATAATAATGTAAGACAGATTATGTGAGTTGATGTAATATCCCAAAAATACAGTAACATACCATATAATAGAATAATTACAATTAGTAATATTTCAGTTCAATCTTATACTAAGAGAACGTACGCGAATGGCCGAACGGCTTTACAGAAAGAGTTAATATGCTAGGACAAAACATAAGTACAAGTCTGACCGATCGGTGTACAAAACCAAGTACCGAACGGTTATACATACAAGGAGGAGAAAGAGGTGAGCGACTGCCTATTACAAAACTACTCTACTGACCGAACGTACTATGGTTCGGTCTTAACTTCAACGTCCACCAAATTTTCTTCTTCCAGAGTATCTTCTAGCAGCACGTCTCCTTCTGCTCACACCCACACGGATGATCATTGCAATGACAAGATGAACGTACAAGACGAGACAACACAAAGAAAACACAGGGTAAGCTTATGTAATTTAATTCATACATACACACACATTTCAACCAATCTAACACCCAAGATAAAATTTCATCATACGAATCATACAAAGCCTATAACTAGACTGACTGTCCGGACTGTATGAAATCTGTGTAGCTACAGGCGTTCATGCACCCGGGTGATGTAGTAACTGGGATACACTCAACAGCTACCACCCGAGGTTAACCCTATCTGTTCAAAGTACCCCTAAGGACTAAGATCTCCTGCCGTTCCCACACATGACCTACTCTCCTCTACGTGAAGACGAGTACCCACGGAACATCAGGATGAATAGCCAGCTTAGCATGCCCACAGTCATACTTTACCAATTTCAGTATTCAAGCATGAGTCGTTCCTCCCCAGAACGCTTGTCCAAAAATCACAACCTTTTCATGCCTCATTTTCTTCATCTTTATTTAATAATCATCTCATTTAAATATTTTACACAAAGATCCGTTCGGGTACAATTTACCGAACGTCCAACCCTGACTCAGAACGAGACTGAACAATTTGGAGCTAGACCGAGGGCCTCAAATTCCATAATAAATTTAGACCAAGAGGTTTACTATCGGTTTGAGAAAGAAACGAAGTACAATCTAATATCACCACCAATGAACAGAACGAACATAACTTGCAAAATGAATCAATTAGATGAATTGACTCTTAATAACTTTTTACCGAGCATCTAAAAAGAAAACTATACTCAGCACTAAAACTCCAGGCTGAAGCCAATAGACACAGACACTCCAATAGATTCAAAGAATAATACATAGAGGAATTCTCATGAATAAACCGAGCGTTTATGAGGACTTAGATTATTTAGATTTAGTATTAAGAAATATGAATGTCAGTTAAAGACTAAACACTATAGGGAGTGAACCTTAGTGGTTTGAACGAATGCTAGTATTAGAAATTAGCTTAATGAAATGGAACGAGTGTCTGGTGTAAGACCGAGCACTATTCAGTACGAGCGTTTGGTGTAAGACCGAGCACCCCTAAACTTAACATAAAAAGGCTTGATAACATAGTACGATAATATTGAAGTAGTGTTTACGAACAATAAAATATACAATTACATATATACTTAGATTTATAACCGAACGTTAATACCCAACTGTACAGTCTTTCGAAGTGTAGACGCTCGTCCTCAACTAGGATTCTTCCCAAATGAAAGAATCCACTACAACTCTCAATTCACAAGAAAACCGAACGGTCAAGGACCGTTCAGTAACGTACGTACACTTTCTTAAGAAGTTTCTTACCAGAATCGTTATCATTCAAATTCAGTTCTTAACATATAATTTCATACCTTTATACATTCACACAATAATCCATTTTTCATATCTCATAGCATCCAAACATAGAAATTTCATACATTTCATGCATCATAACATATTACACTTATTTTTCATATTCTATCAAATCAATTAATGTTCTTGCAACACATAATCATATAAATTAAATTAATAAGCTTCCATTACCTCTAGTTTGACGATCGTTCTAGAGGCAGAAGTATGGTTTGGCTGACTAAAATCTCTTCTATCCTTACGTTCCACAACTCTTAAACTAACCAACAGCTAGAAACCAAAAGTGGATCAGACAAGGTATCATCATGCAATCGAGACTTGGTTTGCATGTACTATAGAACGAACGACTAAGGACAAAAGACTTACCAGTTTCAGGACTTGGAACTGTTCGGTTTAGATTGAAGCTTGGGACGCCGTGAATGTTCCTACGGTGCCTGAACGGTGATCGGAGCAGAGAAAAAGTGAGTTTCAGTAGAGAGAAGGGAGAGTTTCTAGAGAGAAAAAGGAGAAATGGAAGGTCAGAGTTTGGAAAGAAGAAGGTGCATGCAGAAAAGGGTGGGTACAGGTTTTCAGAAAAATCAATTTTGCTTCCCACGTCCAAACGGGCGTCCGCTCTACTGTCGACACTTGCCTTCTACTATCTGATTTCAAGATGCTAAATCCTTGACACCTGACGTCCGCGCAGGAAGTTTTGGATGCATTTTAAATGAGGTCTCACAGTTGACATATAAATGATAATGAAAAAGTGAACGAACTGGATGAACATTTAAGTTTGTTTCTTTACATAAGTCTATTCCATATAATTCGCATTCGCAGTCTTCAAATCTATTAAGAATTAACACATTATAAACATCTGCAAATTCGAATTATTTGAGAACGTGTCTTATACGGAGAAGTTCATTATCCACACTTCTTTCTTTATAGCATTATAAGATATTTAAATTTAAGACTAATGAATTATAAATATATCCAAATACAGTTAAGAATGGTCTTACATGGATAAGTCCATCCTAACTTTTTGTTTTTTTTTTATAAGTTATAAGATATTTAAATTTAGAATTAAAAAAATTATAAATATCTATAAATCCGTTGCTATTTGAGAATAGGTCTTATAGAGATAAGTCTATCTTACCTCTTTTTTAGCCTTATAAGATATTTAAACTCAAAATTAATAATTTATAAATATCCATAAATCCGCAATTAATAACATGTCTCTGACTATTTTTTAGAGAGACAAATAAGGGATAAGGAATAGATAAAAACACATCATCCATCCTAATTTTACTCATTAAAAAAAGTTATTTTTTATTATTTTTTTTAAACTTGTTTATGCCCTTCTTTATAATTTAAATATATATTTTTTCCTTTTAAAGCCAAGAAATAGGTAGTGGTATTTTATTTTTCTAAAAATAGGATAATACGAATTCATGATTCTTGTTGTGGATGAAGCCAGAATTTTCCACACTAAAGTAACTTTAGTCACACTCCATTTGCATTCTCTTTATCTACGATAATCACGATCACGAGACCCAAAATCACGCCTATTTAAAAAATACACATCGTATTTTGTAGCCTTCGGAAAAGCGTTTACCTTCCACGTTTCAATCCTATAAACCCTAATTCAACACCAACTTCAATATAATATAAGTATCACCCCCACAACAACATAGACTATTTTATTTTGGAAACATAAAATAAGCTGTTTTTAAGCTAAGCATTTAATCCTTATCAAAATCTAGTGTGCTATGTTGCCCCTTGTTTTCATCATAAGTTTCAATGATTGCCACCATTTTCAATTAATCACGTGACCTTTCATCTTATCACTTTAGATTTTGTAAGTACTAAAAGAAGACATCATTGTAACATAAAGGAAAGTCAACATACGACCTTTGAAGCTACGCTTATGTTCTTTTTTCCCTTAGTTCTTCCGTCACCGTTGCACTTTAAACATTCAATTCTCGTATTAACTCCACCTAAACATTTAGTTATATTGATTTATCTTCTCAAAATCTTCTGCTATACCATGTTATTAAAGTATCTAAAAAAGTAAGATAAAAGAAGGTTAACAATTGACATTATAGTGGTTGTTAAAATTGCTTTTAATTAATAACCCATAACGAATTATAGTAGACAATTACATCATAATAAATTAGAATAAAGAGAACAATAGTTCGTTAGTTTTTCATCAACAATTACATCTTAATTAATATAAAGAAGTGGTATCACTAAGTACGCATAATAAAAAAAATAATTATCATATGACAAGTAATTTATGTTTAACTATATTTATTATCACGTTATGTTTCCGAGAAGGTGTATTAGTTTCATGCGTGTGTTAAATTTCCTTAGTTACAAATTTATAAGTTCATGCATTTCGTTTTTCAAACTTTTTTTATTTAACTTTCTAAAAAACACACATCCAAACGAAAATACATTTTTTATCGGCAAATAATTTGTAACCAGAAAAAAAATGCAAATAGCATAACAAGATAACCGCCACAGGGTGGTGACTCACCACGCAGGCGCAAAAGGGGTCTAAGGATAGAAAAGTAATTTCGCCTGCTTCTTTACGTCTATATAAAAGGTTGGTTGGAATTTGAGATTACAGAGACGAAAATCGCGAGAGGACGAACGAAACGAACACAAGAGAACAGCGCACAGTGGGAGATATATAGTTGCTGGGAAACAAAGAAACAGGTTTTGGAACACCAAACACTGACGAAATCGAATTGAGGTTACTGTTTTTGTCTGCTTGATGGTGTCGGTGAACCCAAACCCCGCCCAAGGCTTTTACTTCTTCGATCCCTCCAATATGACCCTTCCCGGCGTGAATTCTCTTCCGCCGCCACCGCCGCCAACTCAGACTCCAGCTCTTTCCCCCGCCGTGGAGGATCCAAATAAGAAGATCCGGAAACCCTACACGATTACAAAGTCCAGGGAGAGCTGGACCGAGCAGGAGCACGACAAATTTCTAGAAGCTCTCCAATTGTGAGTTCGTTTTTGTATTTTTATTTTTATTTTTCATGGAAATGAAATTCCTTGGATGTGAATTACTCACTGGCAAGGAATTGGAGGATTGGTGATTCTTTTAGATTTTTTGGGAATTTGGCAGTTCTGGTTGTTTCTAGATGATTTGTTAATGGTGAATTAAGGTTTTTATTAGTTAAGTAGTTTGTAAGGAATAGGTGGCTATAGTGAGAATTTTTTGGGAATATATTTTTGGTTCGTTTATTTAATTGGGGTTTTCGAAATTATTTGCTTCTTTTTAATGATTTTAATGTTTCGATGCTGCTACTTCGCTAATATGATTTGGGTTTTTAGTTTTGAGGAAGATGAGGTTTAAAAGGAACATTTTTTGCACGGGAAAAAACTTATTTGTTTTTCTTTAATAATTGTAATATCAATTTTATTTGCTTAATTTCAACTCTGGTAGGTTGTAAAGCAGTTTATGTAGGGTGGGTTATTATTATTATTATAGTGAGAAGGTAATTCTTGCTACTTTTTGACATTTTGTACTTAATCATATTGCAAAATCTTACCTTACTATCTGAAATCCTGGACGAGCAGTATCCATACTTGAAATAGTTCGAAAACAAAGTGGTCTAATAAGCCATTGCATTTATTGTTTCACAGGTTAACGATTTTTTTGCACCGTGTTTAGTTTAGACTTTTTCAACAATAGGTTGCCCCTTCCAATCAAGGAACGAGTGGCAGAGTGAAGATGCTGTAGTGGAATGTTTTTAGAGGGAAGACATATATTGTTAGAACAGTTTGTCAATACTTGGTGTATTAAATGCAGTTCTGGGGGGCACCTCATGTTATTATGCCTAAACTGTTTTTTTCACATCTTCATTCAATTATATACTTTTAACAAACATCATTACATTTACATGTACACAGCTTTTTTTATAGCATGCAAATTCTTTAGAAGGTTAAGAATTGAAGGAATTAGGGTTTAGAAACTCCACAGGTCATTTAGAGAGAAGCATCGGAAAGTATCATAAAGCCATATGGTTGGTATTTTTCCATTTTGCAAGTGTGCATTGTGCTCACCAAGGAATGCAATTCCGTGCTTTCTGGTTAACATCACCTATGCACCTGAAATCAAAATGTTTTTTTTTTCCTTCTGTTGATCCCATGCCAAAAGCAGTATATGAAACAAATAGGATGGGTTATCAGTTATTTGTTTATTTTTGCTTATTTTCTTCTGCGTTTCTCATTTTTTTTTCTTGACAAATTTCAGATTTGATCGGGACTGGAAAAAGATTGAAGCATTTGTTGGTTCAAAAACTGTTATCCAGGTAATTACTATAGAAGCCAAAGGAAAACAAAGAACAAGATACTAGCGGATGCTAGCTGATTGAGTCTGTTTATTTAAAAGGAGTGAAACTTGACCTTCTCAACAATAAATTTGTTAACAATTTCACATTATTCTTGGATTTTCTGTTCCATGCTGGCTATTTAGTGCAATTTTCAGTGTCTCAACTGAATATTATACTTGAATTGTATATGAGTAAATGGCGACTTGATCATTTCCAAAAGACTGTCAATTGAAGCCCATGACCTGAGTTTGGATCTTCCCATTGCTTTTTATGCTCTTATATCTTCTCTTACTAGCAAAGTCATTTTTAATTCTTGTTCGTTGAATATTGTTGTCTAGATTTTTTTGCATCACAACTAAATGCAATTTATTATGTCTTTCTTCAAAATCTAAGGGTTGATCATGGGATTAGGGACATTAACTTTTAATTTGTTACTTTGGTGCATTTGTACTTAAGTAGAAAAGAAAGGACATAAAGTTATATAGATACTCATCTTGGATTGTATAATGTTATGGTGTTTATTTCATCAACTTTCTTGTTGCGAATCTCTGACATTCGTTATATGTTCCTTTAACTATCCTTTCTTCAACATTCTTTGTAAATTCTATTTGGCAGATAAGAAGTCATGCACAGAAGTATTTTCTTAAAGTTCAGAAGAATGGAACAAGTGAACATGTTCCTCCTCCCCGGCCAAAGAGAAAAGCTACTCACCCATACCCTCAAAAGGCTCCTAAAATCAGTTAGTATTGCTAATGTCAACCACGTTTAATGTTCACTGGTTTTGTCTATTGAATCTATTTTTAAATAACTCGTTTTTTTTTTCTTTTTTCAATTTATCAGCTCCTACTGCATCCCAAGTTATGGGCCCACTGCAACCTTCATCTGCTTTCATTGAACCTGCATATATTTATAGCTCGGATTCTTCATCTGTTCTTGGAACTCCAGTTACCAACATGCCTTTGACGACTTGGAACTATAATGCTAAACCACCCGTCAATGTGCCTCAAGTGACTAGAGGTTTTGTTTGTCCTGAAATCTAATGTTTTGTTTTACAATTTTTTTTTGTTTTCAAATATGTATTTCATTGAGGAAGGCTCTGCTAACCTGGAAAGTTTTTTGGTTTCTTAGATGACATGGGCCTGACCGGAGTGGCACAAACTATTTCTCTTAACTGTTGCTATAGCAGTAGTAATGAGAACACCCATCCAACTTGGCCAAGTAGCAAAAAGATGAATCAAGGTGGCCAGGGCAAGCCAATGAAAGGTTAGAATACTTTTTTCTTTAAATCGAACTTCTTGAAGTGGGCATACAAAATATTTAACTGAAACTTATCATAAAACTTGGAAATTGTAGTTTTAGATAATGAGGCACTTCTTGAGTTTTGATTGAACTAAAACGGAAAAAGAAGCCCTGAAGCTTGTACTTTTTTGGTAAAAAGATAATTTTCTGAGATGATTGTTGTTTAGGCATTTGCCCAATTATCCTCACTGTCTCGTAGAGTTATTCATCTAGTTGTGGATTGATTTATAGATATCATGTCATCAAGTAAAAGATAAAGTTTCTCATTCATTAGGATATTTGCTATTAAGGAGATAGATAAAAGAAATTGTGCATCAGCTTGTTATCTATTAGAATAGGCTTATTCTAGAATATCATCACTGAACCTGAGCTATGCTATTCTTTGATAAAGAAGTTGCCGTGATTTTTGAAGGTTCGATCTTACTCAAAAGTTTTAGTAGTTTCGTAGCTAATTGTATAGCTATGAGCAGGAGTAGTAGTGAAGAAAAGTGGGAGTTTGAATTATTATTTTTCTGTTATTTTTAGCTCAAGTTTAATGGATACGAAGCTGACCTATTTGATCGAGTTTCTCCTAACTCCTATTAGAATAGAAAAATAAGAAAAAAAAACATGAAATTACCTTTTTCTTAAGTTAAAATTAGCTTATAAGCAAGTTATAAATAAAAATTTAGAAAAGCTGTATGAGAGAGAAAACTTCTACAAATTACTCATGCATAAACTAATTTTGGGTGAAAACAAATTATAAATAAAAATTTAGAGAAGCTATATAAGAGAAGAGAACTTCTACAAATTAGCTCATGCATAAGCTAATTTTAGCTTATGGAAAAGTTGATGTCGAATTTTCTTATTTTTTTTCCTAGAAGAGGTTATGGAAAAATTCGTCCAAATAAGCTTTAAAGGTACCTAAGATCAAGAAGAAAATTTAATTAAGCTGCACAAGGAGCATTCCTTAAAGCTTTTAGTTCAAGGAAGTAAAAATTATGTTATTATAACACATTTCTTGAACTTTGCATTTGTTTATCTTCAATCATGTTCAAGTAGAGTCAGAGACCCTTGGAATCAGTTATTAAGCAATGAAAGTGACTTGATTATACATAGAGCTCTAGAGCTGCTATATTGAGGGGACGGCAGGAGTGATGGTAAAATTGTTATTTTGTGTGCCTGTACCACTGCTACATAAAATATTTCAGAGTTGGCTTATGGTTGACTACCCAAGAGTTGAAGCTGGGCCCTTAATTCAAAGTATGCATTTTTCATGTGTTACTGGGGCTTCAAGAAACAAGTAGGGGTGTGCTAGAGTAGACATATTATATCCAGCACATCTGGACCTTTTGACAATGAATAATATGCATGTTTCTCCTTTCAGAATATAATTTCTGAAGTGAGTAGTGTGTATAAACAACTGTAAATTTTTCCAATTTTCATAACAATAAAAATATTTATGAACAGTATTAATGTTTTAAGTTTGCTATGTTTTGCTATGCTATATGTCTGGTGTTACAAGTGTTGAGCATTGTTTCACTTGTTGATAAGTTTGACTTGTGTATACAGTAATGCCAGATTTTGCTCAAGTCTACAGCTTCATTGGCAGTGTTTTTGATCCAAATTCGACTAATCAACTTCAGAAACTAAGTCAGATGGACCCAATAAATGTGGAAACGGTAATTAATATCAAGTCCATCATTTTCTTTTCCTCTTTATCTTTCGGGGACTAAAGGTCCAAATTTTGGGTTCATGTTCGTCCTTTTGTCTGCCTGAGTATTTTATATTGTTCTGTTTTGCAGGTATTACTGTTGATGAGAAATCTATCGGTCAATTTAATGAGTCCAGAGTTTGAGGACCATGTAAGTTTGTTTCCAACAGTTTGTATTTTTTAGTTATTGACCCCATCGCATTAGCTGCTAGATGCCAAAGTCATCTTTTAATCCTTGTTGCTTGCTTTTATTATCCAACTTAACGAAAATGTGAGTTTATGTTATTAAATTGCCTTCAAATGGGGGGATTAGTTTTAACCAGTAAATATATTGATATCACCACGTTGATATTTTGTCGCCGGAATCCTCAATAAGCCCCTAGGTCTGCGATGATATAGTTATGGCTCTATCACTGCACGTATGTTGTTTAGCAGTGTGGGTGGTTTTAAAATTGAATTTATTTTCTGGAGCATGATATGGGATTTCTGACTTTGGCTATATTGTACTTTGCAATATCTCCACATTCTTGCTGTTGTGTTCATGCTTATTATTTTGTTTTCACTTTGCATCATATTCAAATAAGTCTGTTCAGTAACAATGGACCCTTATTGATTCCTATTTTTGCAGCTGTACACTTTAGCTGTTTGACATTGGGGGTCTGTTTAGACGAGCTACTCCTAAAGGATTTTTGGGAGAGGAAAAGAAAGAAAGAATAAATAAATTAAATTAACTTTTCCATAAATCAAAATTAATTTATTCATAAGTTAAAAATAAAAATTTGAGGAAGTTATACAAGACAATTTCTGCTAATTAGTTTATATATAATCTAAATTTAACTTATGGAAAAGTTAATTTCATCTTTAGTCTTTTTTTTTCTTAGAAGTCTTCGTGAAAAAACTCGTCCTAATAGACTCAGTAGAATGTATAAAATCAATGCCCCAATGATGAGGACTCATTGCAGTTATTCACACACGCAAGAAGTTTAGAAAAACTATTTTATGCATTTCTTTATTTTGAATTGCATGCACGGATATTCTGCAGCATTCTATTCTTATTCTGTTTGTTCCGAATTCACAGACATGCAAGTGTTGTCTTATTATTCTGCATGACAAAGTCCTAGTCCTAGCTTAAATTATTTTATTTTATTTTCCATAACATGCACTTCTTCATGGTCCACTGACAAATTCTTTTTTAATGCAGAAAAGGCTGCTTTCATCATATGATACCGACTCTGATGAGTCGAAGCATGTTAATATTTGCAGCAAATCCCTCACTAATAAATCCGAGAGTGCTATTCTGTCTGCATAAGGATGTCGAGAATGGTTTTTCACTGTAGAATGTTTTCAATCTATTTGGTGAAGAATGCACATAAGTGGGAGCAAGAAGGAGAAAAAAGACAAGGTTTTGCTAAAAGGAAGTGTAGCTTCTTAATGCTTGCATATGTATATTAGATGTACATACATAAATATATACATACATATATATACATATATGTATGTATAGCTTTCGGATTGAGTTTTTGTTTGTTTTTGGCACTGATAGATGGTAGATATGCTAGTGTTTTGTGTATATCTTTTGAAGATGGTTGTCCTTGGAATGCAGGACAATGAGAGTCCTGTTAGGTCACTTCTGGAGGCTTTACTGTACAGTCTGAGTGTTTTTCGTGTTATGCTGCGAAGCTTTGAATTAGCATTTAATATTTAAGAGCAGTGTTAGGAATTAGGAACTGCTGTTTGCCTTGTATATATATATATATATATATATAAAACAATAAAACTGTGTAGATAAGTTTCTCCTTCTATGCATATATTATAAAACCTCTCTTGCTGCCTACCTGGTTTACAGCAACCTTTTTCATTCAGAAATTCAAATGTCAAAATGATTTTATTTGGCGTTTTAAGTTTGGATTTACATTTGGGATAATAAATATAAGATTTTTATTTTTTTCCTATCTGAAATAGTTTTTAATTCATAGTGGATGACCTGATATGATCTTGAAACAAATATCAAATTAATTTTACTTTTAATGAGATGACTTCATCTGACGTGGAAGCAAATATTCTGTGGTGTATTTGAATCTCATACTAAGAAAAATGATGACTAGGTTGAAAACTTAAAAGTGTTAAAACTTTGATACAGTTTGGTAAAATGAATGTATATAGTTTTTCTAACCAATTTTGTTAAATGTTTTTGACATATTTAAATTGTTTAATTTAAAAAAATATCATTGAATTAAGATAATTATATTTTATCTATATTTAAAGTTTAAATTTAATTTCATAAAATATATTTAACTAAAAAAATACTAATAAATTTTCTATCATATTTGTTTTCTCGATTAAAAGAACACCTTAAAATAACCTACTTTATTGTACACATGATTTTAATATTAAATTTGAGCGAAACCATAACTATCACTATAGTTAGTTTCGAAAGTTAAATAACCCCTTCTAATATAGGAAACCAGTAATGGGCCAAACAAATATGATCTTTATACTATATGGGCCTTTGAACTGAAAAAAGGTGTATCATGTTCTGATTTATCCAAAAAGTTCATTATATATAGTATTATAATAATTTTAACTTACTTTTTTTTCATTATTATTTAACTGAATCATTATGATTTATTTTGAATGTCTTTATACAGTGAAAATTATTCACAACAATTTAAACATATTTTACATGTAGTTGTACAGTATTACTATTTTTAATATATCATTAGTAAATCCATCTTAAAAGCCATAATTCTTCTGAAATACAAGTATATCAATGCACAAAATACTAAATCTATATACAAAAACAAATATACTTATGTAGCAGTATTACATTATAGTATAAAAGACCTTGAAATTACATTATCTCTAATTAAATCGAACAACCACAAACATACATCTCATTCATTTACTTCAACTATATCTTCAAAATTATTTCTATAATATTCAACATTTATATAAACTTTTAACATGCTTAAATATCTACTAAAACTAATGCTTTTATTTATTTCTACAAAAATGCAACAACCTTATTTAAATAACAACATCAATTCTAAAAAGTACACGCTATTTAATTAATGTTAATACAAGTTACCTAAAAGAACTAAAATTCTAAATGTCTGATGTATATAAATGTTGTTATCAATAAGGATAGTGGCATTTTGACATCACAATTTGTTTTAATTATTATTTGACTCTATCTCTCACAGTTATATACTCTCTTAAAAATTAACTTTTGATAAAACCATTTTATGTTTGTGAAAGTTATCAAATGGTATCAAATAATCTTTTTCCTATCAATAAACACCACTAGTCATTGTTGCCTAACATCTTGTAATTTTACCATAATCAAAGTTATAACTAAATAACATTTATTTAACAAAATTATTTTTTAAAATAGAAAAAAAATTACTATGCTCGTACTGTTTGATTATAAAAACTTCGTATTAAAGTCAATGTTTCACTTATAAATAAAATAACTTTATGTTTCACTTATTAAAGTACATTTTTATCAAAATATAAAGAAAGCAAGTACTTTTTAAAACTTTAGGAAAATAAATTTTATTTAATATAACATAAGGGAGGAAAGTATAATTTTCTTAATACCATCTCTTCTTCCAAAAAAATCACATTTGAATTAGATAATTAACTAATTGAATTGAACTTGACCATCTGGGAACAATAAAGTTCATCTTTTTAAATAATACTCATCACAATTAAGATACGATTCAACAATTCTTCTATTTTCTCTTTAACATCTTTGAAAAAGATACAAAATACTAAAAGTTCTCCCATTTATTCATCTTAAATCGGAATACAAAATCAATTATAGTATTAATGATCTTACCTTGACAATTCTACATAATACAATAATCATGAAATTCCCATTTTCAAATGCAATAATTACATTAACCTTTTTTTTTTCGAACAAAAACCAGACAAAAACAATATAAATAAGCAAACTCATCTTCTTCACTCTGTCTGTCTCTGAAATTTGTTCAATGAACTTTCTTTAACTTCACTTTCTCCAAAAACCAATGCCACCAATTTTCTAACACATTCTCTGTTTGCAACCATGTCAGTGTATGACGCAGCTTTCGTCAACACGGAGCTTTCCAAACGCACTTCCATCTTCGGCCTCCGTCTCTGGGTCGTCATCGGAATCCTTGTCGGATCCCTCATCGTCATCGTCCTCTTTCTCATCTCTCTCTGCCTCACATCCCGCCGCCGCCACCACCACAAAACTCCCCTCCGCCGCCGCGCCGCCGCCATCCCTACGCCGCCCATTTCCAAGGAAATCCTGGAGATCGTTCACGTTGCCCCGCCGCCAGACACCGTCAACCTCCCGCCTCCTAAGGCGGAGCCACGCGCCGCCGCCGTACTGTACTCCAGTGGGGAGAGCAGGGGAGCGGTGAGCCTGTGCGAAACGGCGTCGTCACTGGGGAGCGGGAGTGTGGGCCCCGAAGTGTCGCATCTCGGGTGGGGGAGGTGGTTCACGCTGAGGGAACTGGAAGCTGCGACTAATGGATTGTGTGAAGAGAACGTGATTGGTGAAGGTGGCTATGGAATTGTTTATCGTGGGTTGTTACCTGATGGAAACAAGGTTGCTGTCAAGAACCTTTTGAATAATAAGTATGTCTCTCTTCTTGTTACATGCTTCAATTTTGTGTCATAATTAAATTCAGCTCAAGTGGGCTGAGCTACATGGATCGATCAATTCTTCGACTTGGTTAAAGATGAAATTTTTACAGGGAATTACCGGGAAATTTATTTTATTTATTTTGAGGTTTAATCTGGGTGGCTGAAGAAAAAATGGAGTTTCTCTGATCTGTGGTTGGGTCTGTGTGTTAAAGTAAAAGTGTCAGGGGAAATTCATGTGTTTATATAATTTTTTTTTCTCGATTTGGGTGTCTGTGGTTCAAATGTTCATGTGGTGTTTTCAAATCCGCATAGGAGAAAGCTTTTTTTTTGGGGGTTTTGGGGTTGCGTTTTTTTAATTTGATTTTTTGGTGTTTTGAAAAAATAAAAAGAAATGCTTGGGTTGAGCTAAATGGATGCTTGTGCTAAGTTTGGAATGCAGCTTTACTTGCCTGAAGTGAAATAGTTCTTGTGGTGAACATTGATTGAATCTTTTCTTTTTATTTTTTTTTTGCTTGTGTTCTCCTTCTGTTTTACTCTTGCTACTACTGTTTTTGTAATACTTTTTAACCTTCTTTCTTTTTTTCGTTATCCTTGTCTTCTACTTCTGGGTGTTGTGTTGTAAAGTGGCTTACTTATGTGAAGAAAAGAATCGTTTTTCTTTTCGGCTCCTTGTTTGTTACTACTGAATTGATTATGTTGTCACTTTCAAGAGTTTTTGTAGAATCATACTTTGTTGAGATTTTCCAATGAATTCGTCTTTGGTTACTCACTCACTAACTGTAGGTGTATAGTGAAAAATAATATGGTCTTGGGTTTCTCTTTCTCTTACAAGTGATTTGTGTCTAACTCATTATCAGAGGCCAAGCTGAGAGAGAATTTAAAGTAGAGGTAGAAGCAATTGGTCGTGTGCGCCATAAGAATCTTGTTAGGTTGCTTGGATACTGTGTTGAGGGAGCTTACAGGTATTTTTCCAGTTTACTTTGAACATTGAAGATAGAAAGTTTGTTTGGTTTGAATGTTGTAACATTTGATATATGTTGTTGTATCGCAGGATGCTTGTATATGAATATGTTGACAATGGGAATCTAGAACAGTGGCTGCACGGCGATGTTGGAGCTGTGAGCCCTATAACCTGGGATATCCGAATGAACATTATATTGGGCACAGCAAAAGGGTACTGTATCAATGGTCTAATATGCATTCTGATATCCATTTCAGTGCTTGAAAGGCTTTGATCAAAGTGATTTCTTCTGTGTATCTTTTCAGACTGGCCTATCTTCATGAGGGTCTTGAACCGAAAGTTGTCCACAGAGACGTCAAATCGAGCAACATACTGCTTGATCGTCAATGGAACCCAAAGGTTTCTGATTTTGGGCTTGCCAAGCTTTTGTCTGCTGATCATAGTTATGTCACTACTCGAGTTATGGGAACCTTTGGGTTAGTATGGTTTAACTAAGCTTTTTCCTATCTCTATTTGCTATTATAATTAGTTATCACTACCTCCATTCTCATATATAAGCAAAGAAAAACCAACTTTGCACATGTTAAGGAAAACAGTAAAGTGTTTTAATTTTTACAATCAATAGATATTCTTCCTACAATGTCTTTTTCGTAAAACAAAAAATACATATTATACATGAGAAGCGAGGTAGTATTACTGAAATTCAAGGTCCACAACCACAATTAGTGATTCTCCTCTTTTTTCTTTTCTGCAGTTATGTTGCACCTGAGTATGCCTGCACTGGAATGCTGACTGAGAAGAGTGATGTGTATAGTTTTGGAATACTTATCATGGAAATAATTACAGGAAGAAGTCCTGTTGATTACAGTAGACCACAAGGAGAGGTTGGAAACATCACCAACACAGTCAACAGTTTTGAGATTGTTTCATTTTATTGTTGTCTGCATGGTTCTCTCTTGTTTCCCCTAACTCTGGAAGTTGGAATTCTTTCAGGTTAATTTGATAGAGTGGTTGAAAAGCATGGTTGGGAATCGAAAATCTGAGGAAGTAGTTGATCCTAAGATTGCTGAAAAGCCATCTTCAAGGGCTATTAAACGGGCTCTTTTGGTTGCTCTTCGATGTGTCGACCCTGATGCTGCAAAGAGGCCTAAAATAGGCCATGTTATCCACATGCTCGAGGCTGAGGACCTCTTATTCCGTGATGTATGTTCTTTCTTCTTTTCAAACCAGCAAACAGAAGTCCAGATTTTCTACTGGGTTTTTTGGTGTTGTCTTCTGCTGAACATTAAAAATACACTGATGTTGAAATATTATAATTCTTTTTAATATATTTTAAAACATCAAAATAAGTGTCAATCATTATAGTTTGAAGGCACAGTAGTGAGACAACACCAAAAATTCAACAGAGAATCTAAATTCCAAAAATAAAGAATTCAGTTTTGCTGTAATCTGATGCTTATCTCTTTCGTTGTTCCTGTCTGTAGGAACGAAGGACTGAGGGAGAATCTTCCCGTTCCCACCGTGATTATCAACTGGAGCATAAAGGCTCAGGATTAGATAAAAGGCAAACAGGTGGAGAAATCAACTCTCAGAGTGAAGATGACAGTTCTACTAGTAGTAGATATCACCATCATCAGCCTACTAGATGGAGATAATTGTAGCATGATAACTGAAAAGCAATGTGCCATATTATTTTTCTTCCTAGTAGTTTTACTGATATTTATTTGTACTTTGATGATGAAAGAAGTAATTAGTCCCCTATTTGCATAATGTCCCCAGTCACCTACCTCGATCTGGGGGGTTCTTTTGTATACTCTGATTCATTACTATAGAATTCAAAATTATTTTGTGTTTCTGTTTGTTAGACAAAGTAGGATAAGTATTGCACAGTGGTAGCTCTTCCTCATGTGGTCAAAATATGTTATCAACCACCTTTGTCTCCAATATTTTGTTTCAAACACTGCATCCTGGTCCCATCCATATGTTGGGAAATTTAGCATTTTATGAGTGTAATTGGTGGGTCCAGTTAGATGCTTCTGAGCAACAGGCCTACCATCCAGCTATCTTGATGGAAACAGTTTCAATCCATTAACATCATTGCCAACTTCATTATTGTTTTGTTGTGATAAATGAACACGCTGGATCGTAATGAATATCAACTGTATCTTCAACTCTTTTTGCCATGAATGGCTTACATTTCCCAAATGGAATAACAGGCACTGAGAGTATGGAAGTTGCAGGAGCTTGGTCAAAGAATTAGGTTTCATTGTCAATGCCAAACTTGCCAGTGCATGAGCAACAGTGACTGGTGTCCGATTATGAGTGCATCTGGGGATACCCTTTTTTTGTCTCTTTCTATATTCTTCAATGGTTAGTTAGTTTCTCATGACAAATTATCCTTGAAATGCTTAAACCACTGTAACTCTTTCACACTGTTGATTCCCTTTCAAATGTTAATTTCTCTGTGCTTTGGAACCTGACATTGATTTGGATGGGTGATTATAATTTATAATCACTTACATAGATTTGTCAAAAAAGGCATTTGTCAAGCTACATTGATTATTGACTTTTTGTCAACTGTGGACCCTTTCAGAATAAACTAACATTTATCTGTTTATTCACCCCTGAAACTTCTTATTTGTTATTTTTATAACCTTTCATACTATAAAATGGACAATCATAATATATTCTTTACCTTTCCAATCTCATAAATATCCACCCAATTACGTGATATGGAGATAAGCACTTTCATTGTTCTTCTTTTTGCCTTAATCTCAGAAGTCGCTTTCTTGCAGAAATTGATATATACACACTTAGCTGTTGGTGCTAACTGCTACAACCTGTTAAAGCTTTATGGAACAACAACAGTGTACTTTGTTTCATGTCAATGTATCAAAATGGTTTTGTTAGTAATTAAAAATATAAAAATCATTTCCTTTATATAAAATTGTTTCCATTTTATTTCTGAATGATACAAATATACTATAACTTCAATTTTCCACCCGAAGTCATGAATTGTGGGTTGAAGAAGCTTGAATTCATGTGGTATTATTAATAGCTCTCTTTTTTCCCTGCATGCACATGAATATATATATACATCAGAACATCATAAGTAATATAGACAAATTAACTTTAATCATATAATTATATACAACTAGTTGTACTAATTATTTGTTTAAATATATGATTGAGATTCACACACTCAAAGCTAAAGCTTAAACCCTATAAGAAGCTTGAAACAGTGTCATAATAACTCATTCATGACACTTTAATATCTCATATTATATAACATGTTAAGAGGGCTAAGGCCATAAATGGTTTGTCTTTGTGTGATTCAAAGCTTCTAGTCAAATGGATCAAGGAAAATTTTTGTCAGCACATTAGAAGAAGTACCATGTTTTAAATTTTGAACCTCTAAAATAACAGATAAAAATTTCAGAAGTTGTCGGAAAGAAGAGTCTATGCAGAGAGATTTAGTTTAAGAAGAAGAAAAAAAAATACTTATTTATAAATAATGACAGCAGCATCGATCATATTATTTTACTTTAAAAGTATGCTTCTGTACGTACCCTGAATATGATATGATAAGTTTAGATATTTTTCAAACTCTTCTAAAGGCACCATTCACGAGAATCTTGTATGTTCAACCTTGAGATTTAATTATATTTTTTTAAACCAGCATTTTTCTCAACTAGCAGATAAGAATTAACAACAAAGATCCACGTTTGGTTCCATAATTTTTTACACATTTTATGAGTATAAAACAGACAAGTTGAACTTTTTTTATTTGAAGTGATTAAGTGCTCCAACTTGTGAGTGCACATGCTTAGCTTCTGTGAACATATATATATGTATTGGCAGAGAGAAAAGAGGGAAGAGACAAAAAGATTATGTGGTTTCTACTTTCTATAATAAACAAAACACCATTTATTTACAATGTCTGCAAGAAACTGCTATGTACTTATATTCTATTCAAAGTCTTATTTAACATTTTTTCTTTTCAGTTGTGATGTAACATGATGTCAAGGAAATGATGTTATATTCTTATTAGCATTCTCTCTTTACCTCTTTTGTGGAAATTTAGAAACTGATACGTGACTTTCTTGGTCTGCTCTATTCAGTTAAAACTTTTATCAAGAAAAAGATGGAGTTAGTAATGTGCCTTTTTTTTTTCTTTTTCAGTTAATAGTCGGTTATATTTTTATTTTAAGTTAAATATATTTTTAACTCATAAATTTGAATATAAAATTAAAATTTATTATTTTTCAAATTTTGATATAATTTTATTTTTAAATTTAAAAAATCTGAATATAGTTCTTCTAATTTAATTATATTAATTTTTTATGTGTTAAACATGTTTTAAATTGATATGTTTGTATTATTTAATAAATTTCAATTTAAATATTGTAAGAACATAGGAAGAGTATTAAACTACATAGATGTATTAAAATAATGAAACCGAGTATTTTATTATAAAATCATCTTATAATATAAATACAGCTTTCTAAAGTTTGATTCATTATCTAAAATATTTTCATCTCTGTTCTTTTTGCTTTCTTTCTATTCTTTCTCACTCTTGGGTTATCTGTTCGATGATCAGGAAGTGTCTAAGCGATTCTAGCGTCGTCGAAAGCTACCTATTCAACCGATCAATTTCTTGATTTGAGCTGGTAAGTTTTGTTCCTCTTTTCTAGGTTTTCCCTAAAATATGTGATTGTGCAGATTTTCTGTCTTTGCATGAGAATTGTGCCTCTCTTTCTTGACTCTTAGCTCAATTTAGGTTAGTTTCCTATCACCAATCAGTGATTTGTAGGTTTTTCTAGAATTTCCTTGCGGTGCAAGCATCAGTCGGGGTTTCTTTTAGAGCTGTGAAAAATTTCACTAAGGTAAGGGAAGCTAGAATTCACTTTAATTAATAAGTACTTATGTATGCTTGGTAGTATAAGATTCTTGAAATAGTTGAGCTGAATTCGTGGTTCTAAGGTAAATGAAAAATGTGTAATTTGATTGTTTTGAGTATGAAATGGTGAACTGTGATGATAAACTGTGTGGAATGATGTTTTGGTTGTAATTGAATTTCATGAAATGTGTGAAATCTGTAATGAGGCTGGTTGTCTAAGAGTAGAGAAACTTTGTCATGTTTTAAGGTTAGTTTTGAGGAAGTAGAGTAGTGAAATTGTGAATTTAGGGTTAACTGCTCAATTGGTCTATTAGGATAGCTTTGATAAGTCAAATGGGATTTGCTTGAGTCCCTAAGTTGCTCAAAATAGTGACAAAAGTGGTAGAATGCAAATTGGGTTCATAAGTTGAAGTTTTGTAGATTTTGGAGTGGAGTGTGGTTGGGAAACACTTTAGATTGATGATAGTAAGGTTTAGAAACACTTGTTCAAGTCTAATTAAGTCTATAACACAATCTAAGAGGATTAGAAGTTAGAGAAAATATTTGGAATTGGAAAATTTTGGGGTAAGTTGGGGAACTCTGCTAATTTGTGCTGTAGATTATGCAGACTCATTGAGCGAGTGGAGTCGCTTAAGGAGTGGTCGTGGAGGTTGGCTTACTGTTTGAGAATTCGCACAACGAGAAGGTACGCTGAGCGAATGGTTGAAGTCTGGGAGCACTGTCAATTTTATTCGATCAGCGAATGGATGTGCTCAGTGTGTGTTTGGGGGTTTGGACCACTGTTTGGACTTTCACATAGCGAATTGGGGCGCTAAGTGAGAGGTTGGGGTCTGGTACCACTGGTGATTTTATTCGCGCAGCGAGTTGGGTCGCTGAGCGAGTGGAGTCGCTGAGCGAGTGGGGTCGCTGAGCGAGTGGTTTGGAGGTTGGGGTTACTGTTAGTGGATTCACACAGCGACCGAGTTGAGTCATTGTGGGAATAAAGTTTGTGGTCGCTCAGCGAGTGAGTGCGTTGAGCGACTGTCTCAGGTTATCATGCATTCTTTTCTCCTTTGTTCCTTATTAGTTGGAGTAATGGAATTGATTTAATTGTGGATAATGTATGATTATGTATGAGTATTATATGAGTATGGAAATAAGGTTTATGGTTTCAAATAGTGTGGAAGAGAATTCTAAGGAGGAATTTCTCAATGGTAATTGTCAAGTTTGTAAGTATGAATATGGGAAACTCAGTCTTGGGGTTTATCCTGACATTCCAATAGTCACATATTCTCAAGTAGAGAGGAGTGAGGCATGTCGTGAGAATAGCAGGAGGTCCTAGCCTAGGGGCTTTTCCTTGGCCTAAGGTGAATGATAACGAACTAACCTTGTATGGTAGCTTGGGGTAGGCCAGCTGTTTCACCACAACAAGTGCATGAACTGCCATAGCTACATATTCATACTAATCCGGATGGTCAAGTCAATGGTTGGTTAAATATAAAGTTAGTTTGATTTGATATGTTTGTGTTATCTTATTTAAAAGTTTAATTGTATTCATATATCATTACTTGTTTTTCTTCTAGCTTACCCTTCTATCTGTGTTTGTGTTGTATGTTTTCCTTGTTTTCTCTCTTTGTTATGATCATCTTGTGGGTGTGAGCAAAGGAGATGAGGTATCCCTAGAGCAGACTCTTGATGGAGGAGATGTTGCGAAGAATAGTTATCTTCATAGTCGTACTTGTAAATAGTTTTGGTATAGGTTGTTTGTATATAAAGTTTAAATTTTATAGTTATTTTAGAATCACTGTCAGATTTTACTTTATATGATAGTCAATAACTGTTTTATCATATCCTTATTGTGATGACTCTTTTATATAGTATTATACTATATTTTGATATGTTACAAATATAAATATAACATTTAATAAATTTAAAAATATTAAAGTATTAAATTAAAAGAATAATATTGAATTAAATTTATAAATTAAAGCATATTAAATATTAAAATAAAGATAAATTTCAATTGTATGTAGAGAATAAAATTATGTTTAATTTTTTTTTTTCTAAAAGTAAGAAAAGAATCAGACAGATCCAAGATTTATGCAGGATCCTGTTTGTGGATATATTTAGTTAATCTAGGAATTGTATATTATTTTTCTCTTGGGTGAGACAAAAATAAGGGTCGATTGTGTGGTCCATGTTTGAACTTGAGATAATCCATTATCCATAAAAATCAAACAGAAAGAAAATTATAATGTGGTTAGTTTTATACTTCCTAAAGAGATTAATTTTTTACTATAGAGTAAGTACAGCCTTGGTGGGTATGCAACTTGTTTTACTATTTAATTTAATTTTTTTTATGTCATTAATTAAAAACGTTGTAATAATCCTTGGTTAAATATAAATAAATTCTTTATTTGATTCAAATACGAAGATATTTGAAACCAAATGAAAAATGTAAAAAGAAAGATGAAGACAACAAACATGGGTGGAGATATCTTATAGATTACAAATAGAATATTGATTGTTGTCAGAGTTTTTAGTAGTTATTTCATTCAATTCAAGATTTTAAAATATTACATTTGTGTTTTTTAGAATATGTTTTTCAAATTTGTTATTCTTATTTAATATGAGATCTTATATTCATATTTACATTTAAACATTTTTCTCTTGTAGAATGAGTTTTTTTCATATAGTATGTATATATTGTAGCAAATATATTTTTGTTCATGAATATTTATCGGTGACCCTTTAAATATAATAAAATTAAAAGCACCGACTTTTTATGCTGATTTGTTGTTTCACGTTGAAAATTTTGGAGAAGAAAAGTTGTAAGGAGATTCCTAAGCTAAATATGTTTCAGCATCTGAGTCTAAAAAATATTAATTATACATACAGGAACAAAAGATTAATTACTAAAAGGTTAAAAAAAAGTCTTGCTGGCAAAAAAATTAAATTTAATTAAAAACAAATAAAAATTATAGGTGAAATAGAATAGAAGTAGTGGTGGTCACAATTTTTTAATTCAGAAGTAAATTATTTTTCTTTGGATTTATTGTTTTTCTTGCATGCTAGATTAGACCAAAATAAAACTAAAATTATTCTTGAATGCGCTCTTAAAATTATTCAAAATGGAAGTACTTTGTAACTGTTGTGTCAATTTTGAAGCTAATGCTTGCATTATAAATATGATTTCTATTTTACCTCAGATAGATATCTAAATATGTGTACCATTTGAAACCTAAGTGTGGATTGAAATAAAGAATAGAAAGGAAGTAGAGAAAACTTTGTACTTTGAAACATTTTTTTGATATTGATTTTGGATTAGGAAAAAGTGTTGAAGAGTGTGGCTTTAAATGCAGTAAAGGATAGAAATGAAGAAGAAAAGAAGTAGTGTTAGGTCATCTTCGTACATTGTATTGTTCAACATGTGACATGTCATTGTCAACACCATTGTCTTTCTTTCAACTTCTATAACGACAATTACCACCAAAATGTAGTGGTTAGGTCGAACACAATTAAATGAGACCCACATTCACTCGTACAAAACTACAAATAAGTTGGTCATCTTTCACTCGCTGCTCCTCACAATCATCTCTTTCAAGATTTGGGTAGGATTTATGATTGGAGATCTTCACATTGTTTACCAACGATTATCACTATTCGCCTTCGTTAAGGATTTTGTGGGATCAAATGATCACTCACTTCACGAGCATAATAATGCAAGAAAATTGTTATATCTATTGCAGTGCTAAAATATTGTCTCCTCTGATTTTGGAGGAGTGTCTTGAGAAGTATATATAAAGAAAATTGAGTAAAATGTTATTTCAACTTTGTTCGGTTGAAATTTTATTAAGTGATTATTCAACTTGAATTTAAAATAAAATTAGTTTATGTGTTTGCATCGATGTTCAAAATACAAGCTTGAGTTGCTTCAGGTTCACGGGTCTAAATGGACGTGACGCCAGAACAAATTACACTTGAATTTTGTAACAATGATTTTTCTTTTCTGATGTTCTCTGTTTTCGGTTTCTTATCACTATATTTTAACATACTTATTGACTACTAGAAATTGAGGGTCCATATTATTTTATGCCATCTGATACTATTATTTTATATATATAATTCTCTTTCTGGCTTTGCAACATCTCGTGACATTGGAGTGTTGAATTTAATTCCTAAGTGATGAGATTCCTTTTAATGAAGTGAGCAGTTAGAATCATTAATTAATTGGTTAATATTTAAGATTCATAATTATTGTTTGTGTACTTCACACTTTTTTCTTGCGCATTTTTCTTAAAAAATCATTTTTAATACTGCACACTTTGCCTTCTAAAATATTCAATTCAATCTGGCCTGGAAAGTGCATGGAGATTCTGTCCAATTTGACAGAAATAACATTCACTCGTTTGACAAATATTGCACATTCCAGGTTTCCACAAAAGAGCAGTGCTACTAGCATTCTTTTAACATACTTATCAATATATTAGAATTACTTTTATCGTATAAAAACCTAATTTAATTAATAATCCTCTATTCAAGTACTGATTTTTAAAAAAAAAAAAATCTAGGGAAAAATCAACGGCGACATAACTGCCGGTAGTTTCCTTGCACTCTCTTGAAAAGCAACACCCTTCTGACCCTAAAAAAATGGTATATTCGAATAGAAATGGAGTCCATTTTCCTCAACATTTTATAGACTTATAATTCATTCATCCGGATAGGCTACAAAAGTTTGTCAGAACGAACATTAACAATTGAAGGTCCAAATTGTGTAAAATGTTTGTTTGGTACATCCATTAGGAAAAGTGTATAAATAAAATTTGGTAATTGGCAATAAATAATATAAATTTGTTCCACAACATATAAATGCAGCTACCCAAAATGTCTTGTCTTGCAAATGAAGTATATAAATTCATCCGACCTGTCTGACTCTTGTACAACAGTTACCTCAAAATGTCAAGCGCTAGAACTGATCATTAGCATTGACTATCCAAAGAATGATAGAACATGTCAGTATCGCAATCTGATAACAAAAATGCTTTCACTGTTTCCCCAGACAAAGTAAGTCTCAGGCCCCGGCAAAGAATGGACAACTTTCCGCGAACATTGGTTGTAGTGATACAGTCATGACATAAGACAGCAAAAAGCATAGGAGTAGAACTTTGTCCACCGCGTTTGAAGTCAAGGTAGATCGCTATGACCTTAAACAAGTAACACAGCATTTATACAGCCATCATTTTCCGGATTATTGGTAACCTGAGCATATTTACCTGCATTCAAAGCAAATAGAAACCCGTGTTAATTTCAGACTTTTCAGTTGAAAATTCAGTCAACTTTAATAAAAAAAAATATATGTATTTACCCCACACAACTTTCCCCGCAGGTGTGACAAGGCCAAGTTCACTGACATTCACCTGAATTACATTAAGCAGTGAAATATGAAACAGTTTCATAGAATTATCAGCGATCAGAAAAAAAAGAGTCAAATTGAGATCCACTAATAGATTAGAAGAGAACGAAATATAAATACCTCAATTATAGTTCCCTTGGTCATAACACCAAGAGAGGTGTACATAGGGCCGTTAGGATTTTTCTTTACTCCAATTATTTCTAGATTAAACGTGCATTTAAGTTCTGGATGAGTGACATGGGCCTTGGTGAACCGCAAACCTGTTGGACGAATGAATCTCTCATACTTTGGAGGCTTCCTGGTAAAACCAGGCCCAACAAATGTTGCTTTAGTAACCATCCTCTTCCATTGCTTGGCTGCAAAATGGTGAATCATGAACTATCAAATATGCTTCAGGAATGATCATTATATTTTTTTGTCTAATATTGTAATACTTAAAGTGCTCATAAGTCATGATGAACTACTACTAGACTGTAAAAACAATGACATGAAAACACCTTCCCAAACAAGATAGAGATTTCTCTAATCATTTAATAAAATAACAGAACACAATTAAAGTAAAGATTTCAAGTACTCAATATCCTCCACCTATTCAAGCAAAGAATGCAAGAATGAACTATGAATCATACACAAGCATGATTTGTAGAAAGATACAAACGACAATAATACGATGTAACTAAATAACAATTTTATACCAAATTAATCAAGTGGTGCCAATAAGGTAAACAAAACAAAGAAATTAAAAAACCGAAGCTGGAAATAACTTTCGACAGATAAATATGATACTTACTCTTTCTTTTACCAGTACGGACCACTTTGAACATTTCATCTTCAGCCACAGGACGAACCTGCGAAATCATACATTCATGTAAACAAAAAAAGGAACATATGGAAAAACTATGGAAAGCAGAGGATGCAATGGTTGAGAAAAGCCAAAAAGAGAGGATGCAATGGCCATAAACGAAAATACTGGGAGATGCTGGAATCGTTGCCAAAGATGAGTATGTGTTCAAGGTAAAGTAGAACAGTGGGTTCTACCACATAATAGTCTGTGCAAGTGACTTGGAACGTAGGATTACAGTTCTGACTCATCAACGGAGGGGGGTAAAATCTCAAATTTCCCTGCCAAAACAGCCCTAACTGTTTCTGTTTCATGGTTCAGATAGGCTATTCGTGACTCACTCCAATAGCCCCTGCTCCAGGTGCCGTTTTACATAATTTTTTCCACTATCACAGCCAAGAAAGCTGCAATTCAATTTTAGTAGCATGCACCAGCCCTACACAACACAATTCCAGAATAGCTCTACTATCTCACACTATTGAGTATTGACAACCATGCTCTAACCAAGCAGGAACCAGTAACCACAATCAATAATTCTTCTCTTACAGTGTGTACTTATTCTCACAGCACATTTCACTTGCCCTCTCTATACATCTGTAGGTTTACTTGAAGCCAATTTCAATTGGGACTACGTGTTTAGACTTTTCTTAAAGTGCAAAAGGATAATACTTTTTTATTAAAAATTTAATCCAAAGTTTACTTAATGCATGAAGAGCACAGGTTCTGTGACAGGTGGTCAACAAATTTCAACAGAGGTCTTTAAAATCATCCATGCACAAAGTATCAAATGCAATCTTACCTTGGGTAGAGGAACATCCCACTTTCCAGCCTTCTCTTTCCTCTTTTGCTTAATGGTGTTGCTGAGAACCTAAAATGAGAAATTCAATTTAGATGACTTCCGCGAAAAGAAATCACGAATCAAAATTACCATTCAATAATTCACGTGAATCATGCCTTTGCTCTGGCCGTGTTATCACGATCCAGAAGATAAGCAGGAACGGCTCCATCTTGAACATTATCATCAGCCTTGCGCCTGGATGTTGACTCTTCATGCATAGCCAAACTGTCAACCACAACGGGTAAATTATTATCATCTCATAAACTCAACAACTATCATGCTAGTTATCTAACATCAATCAACAAATCTTAAATAAATATATCATTCAAAACAATCTAGTCAAAAGCATGTATTTACATCGACGCAAAAAAAAAAATTGCAGCACATTAACTACTAAAACGCTCCCCCCATGTCAGCAACCACAAAATAGCATACATCATAAGCAAATACTGAAAATTAGTCCACACGAAAATGTAAAATACAAGCTGTAAAAACAGAAAATTCTCACGTCTTCTTCATCTGCGCTTTTTCAGCATAATTTTTCTTGGCAATAATCTTCCCCTTGATACCAAGGGCCTGTTCCACACGAATTAAAAAAAAACAATTAGATTTGTGAGAATACAACCACATAACTCAAATTCCAAATTCCAAATAAAAAGCGGCAAAACCTTCTGAGCCATTGCGGAGCGCTTGTGAACTTGCCGAGCCTCTTTCTTGCGCTTGCGCTCGAAGTGATCGAGCCGGTAGCCATAGTCTCTTCGGTGACGCTCTATGTAATCCCCTTGCGGCTACAATTACACAAAAATGGGATCAGAAAATGCATGCCAGGGATTTCGAAAAACGCGAAGAAGGTTTAACTGAAGTTGAAGAACAAACCATGGTTACGACGGCGACCCGGTTTTCCAATCGAAGAAAGGATGAACGAACAAAAAGGATTCAGCGTCGCCCTAAGCTGCTTGTGCTGGCGAGTATAGAGGTTTATGTCTTCGAATCGAAGGCCGTGAGATACAGAATTGGGTTCAAATGGATACATGATTATAGTTGGACTTACAGTTGGGCTTACAGTTGGGCCTTACGTGTTACAATAAGGGTGTTGCTCCCTCCACCTCCACAGCCTTCTCCCTCCACCTCCCCCAATTATCTTTAATTCCAATTATATCCTTAAAGTTAAAATTTTTTATTTTTATTATTTTATTATTTTAATATTTTAATATTTAAATATAAACTAATATAAATATACATTATTAAAATACTTTAAAAAGATATTCAAAAATAATAAATCAAAATATTAAAATATCTAATAAAATAATAACAGAAACATAAAATTAAAACAAAGCTTAAACGGATGACATCCTTCAACGGATGACATCCGTTGAAGGATGTCATCCATTTAGGCTTCGTTTTCATTTTACGTTTTAGGGTTAAAGGATTATTGGAAAGATTATTGGAAGGATTATTGGAAGGGTTTAGGGTTTAGGATTATTGGAAGGATTATGACTACGTACGTGGAGAGGAACCACGACAAGCACATTACACCACAAACGCACTGCACCACGTACTGCACCGAAAGCAAGAGGAAGATTGCTTGATAATTCTTTTCACGATCACTGAGCTTTGCAGAAAAATATTTTACTCATACAAGGAACTACGTAGGTTATCAGTGAAATATGTTATAAATGAGTAAAATTAAAAAACAATAATTCTAAAAATAAAATTTTACTGAGGAGCAAAATAGTAAAGGGGAGGTGGAGGGAGAAGGCTGTGGTGGTGGAGGGAGCAACACCCTTACAATAAATAAGAAAATTTTCTTTTTTTGTTTAGATTCTACAATTTATAAGCAATGTTTTAAAAGTTAAAAATGACGTCTAAAAATAAAAATTAATAGGATTATTTTTTTTCAATCAAATTCTCTGAGGTTGATGATAAAATAAAAAAATAAAAAATAAAGAATCTTTAAAATAAATAAAAAGTTATTCTGATAAAAAGCAAATAAATGCGATAAAAATATGAAATATGAAGGAAGAAGATTATAAAAGAGATAAGATATGAAGAAAGAAAATTTAAAAAAATAAAGGACATTATTTAGTGATATATTTATTATTTACGCACAGAAATATTTTTTTTACAAAAAAAAAGATTTTTTTACATAAATAATCAAATTAAGTGATATATTTATTATTTAATATGAATAACGTAATTTTATAAGAAAAAAAAATCCTTTTCATTCAATAGCTTACTTGTTAGCATTAATTTTTTATTAAAAATTAAATAAAATTTACTTAGTTATAATTCTCTATACATTAGTTTTATTATTAAATAAAACTATTCGTTGGTCGAAAATTTTTGAAGTGTAGGAGAATGTAAGAGCCTGAAAATGTAAGGCTATTGGGCCCTGCAGCCTGACCCAAGAAGCTAAGGGCACTAGGACCTCAGAAGAGGCCTCATTTTTCCAGCTCTGAGTTCATTTTCCAGTTCTCCTTTCTCTCTCTAAACTCATCTCCATTTTCTCCTTCTTGCTCTGCCTTCTCTCTACCCGTGCACTCATTTGAACCGTTGAAATTTCAAATAGGTGGTGTTCTTTCGCTCACGGAGTTGAGAGCTTCCCTTCTATCTGATTAGATTTCTATTTGGACGGGTAAGTCAGTTTCTCCACTTTTTCTTGAACTTAGGGCATGCAACTTTACTGGTTGCATGGTGCTCCTTTTGATTCTCTGTCTATTCTAGCTCTAAGAGTTGTTTCCATCACCATTTAGGTGGTTGTAGGGCACTGTTTGGGTTTTCTCTGTGAAGGCACGATTAGGGCACTCTAGTTGACTATACTGCTCAACTTCAAGATAAGGGGAGCTAATTATTTTTTTGTATGAATTTATTTTATTAAAATATATGCATATGAAGTTGAACTGGTGTGCTCTTGTGAAACTGTTTTATGACTTTTATTATTGGGTGTTATAATTAAAACGTGAAATTGTGCATGTTGTGATGTGATGAATTTAATTTGTTTTGAATGAGTTTGTTGGCTGAAATTGATCTTGTTGGAAGGTCGGGAGCAAGGGTTTTGTAATAGCATGTATATGGGTATTAAATAGATGTATGTTTGAGGTTACTGTGAGAGGAAGTGAAAATATTAAAATTAGGCATTTCAGATAGAGCATAAGAACACGGAGTTAGATAATTAAATAAATTAATTGTAATTTATTATGAGAGTTTTCTTTGTGGTAGGTAGATTAGGAACCTAAAAAACCTGAGTTGGCACATCCCTGATCATAGAGCAGTCCTAGCCTGGTTCAGTCAATTGTGACTAGTCATATGTGCTAGCGTCGAAGGTGAGTTTGATGCGTTCAAACATCTGGGTCCTCTCCGATGACCAATTGGGGTAAAGAAAGATCTCTACTAGGATGAAAATAAAATAAAACAAGTTGATTGTAGATGCATAAAGTTATCATGTGGTAGTTTATAGTCAATTATATTTTAAAAAATAGTCAGTGTTGTGTCTTGGAATTAAAAGTAAGTATCCAAATATATAATATAATATATATATATATATTATATATATATATATATATATAGATATATAGTTTTGTCTGATATATATATAATAAATAAATGTAAATATATATATATTAAAGATAATGTACGTATCATCATATATATATATATATAAAAGTAAGGATAGTTGTTTTTTATATTGAAACGTGAGTGTTAATCAATAATTATATTACTTGTAGGTATGTATAAATTGATGCATTTTATGAGCTGATATGGGTTTGTGGGTGTTTGGTTCTTGGTATTGAATACTTAGATCAATGTGGGAGATGTTATTTTATAATGTGAGTGGGTGAGATGTATATGTTGAGATTGTGTATGGTGATTGTGGGCAGAAAGTATATGATTACAAAAAATGATGAAAGTATGATCCAAAGTTGTAAATCAAGTTCCATCTGTGTAGGATCTCTTGGTGAGATCCTTAGTGTAGAATGATTGCATGGTAGCTCAGTCTTGGGGGTTTTCCTGACGCTCCAATGGTCTTTCATTCTCAAGTAGAGAGGATTGATCCATGTGGTGAGGAGTAGCAGGAGGTCCTAGTCCTGGAGGCTTCCAGTATGCTTCAAGGCACGAAACAGATTACCTCGTGAGTGTGGTAGGATGTAAACCATTGGCAACGACTTTGCAAAGCAGTAGAGGCCACCACGAGTGCATAACCCGCCATAGCTCGGCAATCATTCTGGTCCGAACGAGTCGGTCTATAAAACAATGAGTCTTGTGATGTCAATGTATCATTTTTTAGTGGCTTTTACATGTCGTGTGTGATTGAATAACATGATTTTTATATCTAGCTCACCCTTGCTTGTTTGTATTGCTTGTGTATGTTTCTTCTTGCGATGATCATCCATTTGGATGAGAGCAGATTGCGAGGAGGTTCCATTGGAGACGACTTTGGATGTTGAGGACAATGATGTCGCCTAGTCTCCGGTGGTGTTATTAGTTATTCCTGAAATTTTGGATACCGTTTTTTCCTTCCAGCTTATATTTAGATCTCTTTGGAGTTTAAGTTTAAATTCTGAAACTATTTTGAGGATAACTGTAATCCTATTTACTCTCAACTGCTTTCATATATTACGCATGATGACGTCCTTATTATATATATGCTTTCTATATAATTGGATGTCACATAATCACTATAAAATAAATTTTTTAATATATTATAAACAATAATTCTATCTTTAAAGTTAAACATATTAAAATATATTTTAATTTTCAAAATTAATAATTATAATATATTAAAATTATTTGAATTGTAAAAAATATTTATTACGTTTTTTTATCATTATACAGCTTAAAACTAATATACACCAACTAACTTAAGTATGCTTGTTTTTTAAATAAATAATATAAAACTTAACTAATGTAACTAAGTTAAGAAGGATAATATCCCTAATTCCATGTGAAAATAATCAAATTTGTATTATTACCAACATATCTACTTCTTACACCAATAACAATATTATCATAGTTGTGAATAATGTGATATAATATCAATACGAGAAAAATTATCTTAGATAGAACCAAACATATCTCAAAGATGTAGTATAACTACCAACATAAACAATTTTATAATTTTTAAACAAATGTAAATATATAGAATTTATATCTTTCTTCTTCTTTCAAATGGTTTCATTTTAAAAACATTTTATTTGAATAAGATAATTTGAATGCATTGAATTTTAATTTATAATAATACTTGGTAACATAAACAAATTCCCATAAATATTGAAAAAAATAATTATTATAAACTTTATAAAAAAAGTTGTATAATATTACATATAATTTTATAATTATAGTCAGTAATTCTAACATAAAAAACCAAATCTTATGTTTTTTTTTTCTTTAAAAATAAATTTTATATATATTTCAACATTATAATATCAATATATATATATATATATATATATATATATATATATATATAAATATTTTATTATGTAACATCATTTTTATAGTTTTAAAATTATTATAAAAGCATCACATATTTAATAAACAATAATAATTAACTTAAATAAAATATAGTGTGTCATACAATTATCCAAATTTAATCACAATATTAAATTTTATATTTACAACGAGTTTCTAAAATTAAGAGTGTCCATACATAAATTAAGCTTTTTAAAATAGGCTTTCAAAAACTTCAAATATAAAAGAGCTCACCCTATTATTTATACATCTTTATCCTTGATGTCCAACATATGCTCTATTGAAACATCGTATTCTTTTGTTCACACCAATTAGGTAATCATTACAAAAAGAACATAATCAGGCATACAAACAAAATAGAATGGTAAGTTAATTTTACTAAAGAGATAATTATACATTTTAATTAACAAGACATCAATTGAACACAAACAAATCTTAAGCATACATACATTAGCTTTAGACTTGGTCATCTGAATATATATATATATATATATTGATGATAGACTATGACACTTTTGCACTTGTAGTGGTGAAATATCGCTCACTAAATTAAAGAGAAAATGGGTCTAGACTTGTAGGGAAGAAGTGGTGCTCAATGCCACGAAACACTGCTCAGCGCCCCATAAACAAAGGGTTCACTAAGTTTGTAAAGCTCAGCGTCCTGAAGTCTAGTGGCTCTTTGACTTTGCAAAGCTCAACACCAAACTCCTACCCCTCAACGCCACACTAGAATTCAACAACTTCAAAACCTAATTTGGATACACTTAAGACCTATCCAAATGATCAAATTGGTATCCTTGACACTGTAATTAATTTAAAAACATGTTTGTACTTCAAATTTGATACCAATTTGTTCATTTGGTCAAAGACTTAGTCCATTATATCAAACCAACTACCCAAAAACTCATACATCAGATTTCACATACTACAAACTAAACTTTTAATGAACTAAGTAACTAACCAAGTCCTAATTGACATGAATACAAATGCCAAACATCAAGTTCCCTCATAAAACAACTTCTCTAAAATTTCACTAGTCAAAAACCCTATTTTTGACCCAAAATCAATCATTTCTCTAACCTATTATCAAACCAAAGTTCAATAGCTTATTGTTCCACTAAAACAACAACTTATCATCCACATATCATAAAAAAATAAGCACAATTCAACAAGTATTTCAGAGCAAGAATCCACTATATCAACTACCAGTTTCAATATGTAGCATAATACACTATCATAGAATTCAAAATAATATATAACAAATTTCATACAATTCCATTATACCAAGTTAGACTATCAACAAACATTTAGCTTTCCTTGCATATTGGAAGCTTACACAACTCTAAATAACATAAAATTGCTTTCTTAGTCCAAGTAACTCTATTCGTTTCTACAAAACATTGAATCTTGATAGGTACGCAGTTAAAATTACTTATCAGTAGATAACATAAAAGAAGACTCAAACAATACATGCAATAGAATCAACATTGCATGTGCTAGAAAACACAAGACTAGAGAAAATAAAAAAAATCAACTTACTCTTTTGAAAGGACAGATCAAATTCAAATGAAGATTTTGCGATTGTAATCAAATGAACACTTTTTTATCTTCAAACAAATAACTTGACAATTAAAACTCTAATAGAGAAGACAAAAATTCCTTAATATAATTTCTATTTATCAGTTTTTAAACTTTATGTTATAGATTCTTAATATATATATATATATATATATATAAATAATATAGTATAACTAATTTTAATAAAAAAATATAGTATTAAAACTATATTATTAAATGGAAATAGAAACAATGTATATAATTTTGTTATTTGTATTAAATAAGAAATAAGAAATATATTACTTTGTTAAAATGCTTATCTAAGAACTCTAATTATCTCAATTTAAAATATGCTGTGTTGCATTAATTTAAATTACTAAACAACACTTAAAAGATAAAATTTAAAATCATCAAATATTTTTACGGAACTAAATAGACACGAAGTCATATTTATTTTATACGAAGTAAAATCATATTTAAATCAATAAAAAAAACATTAGATAAAGTTGGGAAAAAAATGTTTCTTCAAACAAAAAAAAATTAAAACAAAAAAGAATACAAGTATATTTCATGTAATACTTTAGTATTTTAAAATGTAAATTTGTAACTGAGGACCAAACTAATTATTTATTCTGTAAAATCAGACAAGGCAGTTTCTTCACTTTGTGAACAACTTTTCCCCTCTTACTGGTTCTTCTTCCAGGTAACCAACCTTCGCTCTTTGCTTCCCAGAATTTCTCTCTCCATAATTTGTGTTTTCACTTTTTCTTGTTCCTTTTTTCTGTCCTCCTTTTCCAATTAATCTGATAATGGATGATTGTCTTTGGTTTGATGCGCTGAAAGTGTTCGGTAATTCTGACAGTTTTATTTTTCGGATAAAATGTTTTAGACTTGCCTGATTGATATTAGGATGCTAGATGTTTTATGGTTTTGATGTTTCCTATAATTAGTTCTATACTGAGGGTGTTGGTTCACTATTTATTGCTCTTGCCAAGGTTAATTTGAATGTTTATCATTCATGAAGACCAAAAGCCGCTTTTTTTTTGGAGATGTAGTTTTTCGTTGAAACAGTGATTCCCATTAAGTAAGAAGGAATAGAGGAAATGATTCGTGCTTCGCTTCCAAACTCAGTCTACTAGCTTTTCAAGCTTCATGATTTTCTATTACACTCACATTTTCTTGGGTTCACTTTCCTTTGATTTCGGTTACTACTAGGGTTTCACGGTCTTCAATAACACTCGCATTTTATTTCTTTCCCTTCCCCTTGATTTGTTCTCGTTTTCTCAGCTTTTGTTGAATCAAAAGTTGATAAAATTGGTTTTCTTTCTGACAAATAGTGATGTATGGAATCAGATTGGAAAGGTTAGTTTTGGTTAGTTATCTGCAATGATAGAAGGTAGTAGAATCCGGTTGAAGACATGGCAGCAGGCTGCTGTGGCAGTGGGTTCGGCAGTGGGGGCATTGTTGGACCCTCGAAGAGCAGATTTGATAGCGGCTCTTGGTGAGACGACTGGAAAGCCTGCTTTTGAGAAAGTTCTTCAGAGGATGAAGAGTTGCCCTGAAGGGAAGGTGAGCTAGTTTATTTTATTATAATCTTATTAGTTTTTGGTTAATGTGGATGTTCTCCTTGCTCATGTTGTTTCCGATGTTGATTTATTCTATTTGCTTTTTGTTGGATGCTCTATAGCTAGTACTAGCAACAACCATAGTTTATTTGTTCTTGAGATAACAAAGAGTTTAGGATCAGGTGATGGGTGGCCCTTGGTTTTACTCATTGATAAAAGTGATTATGAACACCTATCACTTATCACTAACAATCACTCTCATTCTTATCACTAAATTAACTGGCATTATTTTTTGCCTGTTGAAGCATACAATTATGCCACATCAAACCAATCGTTTTCTTTTATAATTCTGATTTATAGGCTGTGTTATTGGAGCGTCCTCGTGTTGTTTCTGCAAATGTCGGACATGCTTGGGACCTGCCTGAAAACACATTCGGTGCTGCCTATGCTAGGTTTATGGGATCCAGGAACTTTTCACCAGATGATCGACCTCCTGTTCGGTTCATGGATACAGATGAACTGGCCTATGTAACAATGAGAGCTCGTGAAGTGCATGACTTCTGGCATACCCTTTTTGACCTTCCCACTAACTTGATTGGGGAGACATCGTTGAAGGTTATTGAGTTTGAGCAGATGGGCCTTCCTATGTGCCTGCTGTCCGTTGTAGGGGGCACCGCTAGATTCAGTGGAAAGCAGAGGAAATTGTTTTATCAGCATTACTTCCCCTGGGCTATTCGTGCTGGCATGCAATGCACTGATCTTATGTGTGTGTATTATGAGCGGCATTTTCACGAAGACTTGGAAGATGTTCGCAGAAAACTGCAAATTGTTCCTGCTCCCGTTGTTCCTTAGCTGTATGTATTCGGACATGAAAGTTGTTTTGGTGATGGCATTGTGCTAGAGCTTTGCTATCCATATTTTGGAATAAAATCAACTGTACAACCTTTTCCTCTAATATCTTAGTCAATTAGTTTTGTATTTGTTGGATTTTATCATATGATCAGTAAAATAGACTTACATTACAATCACAACTATTTTTCAACATATCCTGTTATGTTATAGTTTTATTCTTCTTGTATCAACAGTGATTTATCAATCCATGTGATTGCAAATTACTAATCACTGACTTTATTTGTCTTACCGGCCAGGGGTATGCAGAAACCACTTGTGATCCAAACCAAACTGCGAAACACAGAATTAAATAGAAATAATCAAACTTAAAACAATTTAATTACGAAACCACTTTCTCAAAACAGTTTGGCTACGCAAACTAATTTGCTTAAGTAATTTGTTGAGCTACATGCAAATCTATAAATACTTAAAGGCCAAATTGCATGTCTTTTTTAAACATTCTGAACTTACTGTTTCAAAATTTTCAAACCCTACCGTCAAATAAGAACCTTGTCTCTTAATTCTGTATGCAAACTCCATATGAACCCTTACTTCAGAATTTTCAAACACTAGCTCCAAATCACCATTGTGAAGTAGGGATTTTGTTTCTTTATCTCTGATCACATGAATTAAGCCTCACTCTGATTCAATCCTTCTAAGTAGTTTGTTCTTGTTTCGGTCCTTTTGGCCGGCCCATATATCAGATTGAACGTATTTATTGACTCAGCATTCACATCCATGAAGGGCTGGTAAGAAATAATATTACATCGTCTTATTTTATCCATACAAGCCTGACTTAAATCGTAAACATGATCAAGTGTAAAATTTTTAATGATTAGCGAGATTTTTTTTTGGTTGCTGGGTAAAATATGTAGTGCTTTTCTGACGTTACAATTTTTCTAATATTCATGTTTCATCTTTTCATTATGTTAACGTGTGAATATGGGATGACCATCGTCTGATTGTGTGTATGCTTTCTGAGATTTGAACATTAATCACTCTTTTTGATGTGTGCATTGTTGTGTCTCCTCCTTATCTCAATTTGGGTGATTGCTTTGTGGGTGTTTATGGCATGCTGTTAATGATGCTTGGATCCTAAATTTCGCATGTCTCTTGCAAAAGTTTCAGAAAATTGCAGGAACTATTAGTAGCTTATAATTCTAGTCTCCCTACTTCAACTGTGGTAAAATTGGTGTGTGGTTTTTGAACGTTTGTACGTAAAATTGACTTTGGTTAGACTTGATTTTTTAGTGAAGTGATTTATGTTTGTTGGATGTTTTTATCCTGAAACCCAGTTTACTATAAAACTTGGCTAGTTTTTCAATCCAGTTGAAAAGCTACTATTTATCATTCTAGTAAAATCTAGCTTTGCAGCAAAACCAATTTTACTTAGCAATAATAAAAAAACCATAATTTTATAAAATCAAATCTGCTGTCAAAATCAATTCTTATTATTCCCATGCTGTAAGAGCAAACACAATTTTAGTATATCATGCAGATGGAATTGGATGTGCTGAGCCTTTTATGAAGGAGAGTTTGATGATTCGGTTGAGAAGTTATCTGATCTGAATTATTTTGTTTGCATGCTACATGTTCAATAAATGCTAGATTTCTAGAAAACATGATGATGGGCCCATATCATATAAAATTCTGATTCTTGCTTCACTTATTAATGGAACCTCATCTGTTTTGTATATCAAACTTTCATTACTACTTTATTATGGATGGAAACAGATGAAGCTTATTAATACCTTCTGTTATATTGACCTGTCGATTGACATTGTCAAATTGCTTTTACCCTATGACAAGTCAATCTGGCCCGTTATTCAATCACTTTATCATCAACCCCTGTTCTAAGTTATTCTGAAGATCTGTTTTCAGTTGATTCGTCGTTATTCGTGAATTAATAATTGTCAACAATAATATAATTTTCTATCTTTACTCGTTTTTGGAAAATCTTTCACTTGCTACTTTTATGTGTCACTATAGTCTGTAAACTGTATATTGTATCTGTTCATAACAAAAACATATGGTCTAAAGTAACCGAAACTGATATTTTCTTATGTTAAAGTCGCAAATTGTTTTCAGTACAACTATGATATCATAAGGGATTTTCCTATAATTTATAGTTTGATATTTCTTTATGGTTCTTATTGCTGTTAGCATATTATTGTTAGATTCTATCTCAAATTCTGGACAATAGAAACCACGGAATGAATGATAATGTCAATTGGATAAAAGCCTCCAGAGTATCAGAGTTTTCAGATGAACATGACAGCCTATGTTTCCGAGTCATGTCTTATGGATTTTGTCTCTATTCATTTTTGGACCACAATCTGGGAAAGTTTCTGTCTTTGCAAATTCCATGATCACACTTGGGCCAGGGATAAAAACAAGGACCTAAAGCAAAGTCTAAGAAAGAAACCGAAGACCAAGTATTTGGCATATAAAGAAACACAGATTTTGATTAAAATAAACATTGACTGTAAAATTTACTCATAATTTGCATCTGGTTTTCAGAGAATCCATTCCTGATAACACCACTTTTAGCAATCTTGTAAGTAAGTTTGGGTGTTCAAAATAAAGAGTAAGCCAATTCTTGTTTGTGCTATGTTGACGATGACTTGGACTTGTATTTATTTCACAAAAAAACCAGAAATTTCATTGACTTGACTTTGATCGGTGCAAAGCAAATTACTTTGACAATTTATGAAAATATGGTAAATACAAAGTCGGTGTTTTGTAGAGTAGAATGACGTTTCTTATAGACTTTTTACGTGGTCGTTACTTTACATGATAGCAGAGATGTCAAAAAAATTGTTTAACTAAAATTGAATGATGATACAATTTCTAAACTATGAACTGACATACGTATAAATATTGTTAATCTGAATACGTAGACATCTGAGACTTTCTATTAAATAGTTTTTATCAGTTCTTTTATAAAATTAATGTTATAGTGTTATTTTGATGTAAGAAATATAGACCATGTTGGTTGTGCATTATTGGAGTAATCGAAATATTTCATTTGTTGTAAATGTTTGAAATATTTCGCAACATAAGAAAAAAAAACTAAACACGTGGCTATATATGACAAGCTGGTTATATATTTCCAAATATAAAAAATAGTGGTGTTCTTCATCACCCATGACTATTGTTTTAATCTTTACCTTATTTCTAAACTTCCTATTAAATTCCATACCACGAGTTTGAAGATAATAATAAAAGATCTTGTACTTGCATTGAAATTGCATAAACCAGTTTCAAAGTTGGAGCTTGAATTGACCAAAACAGAAAATGTTGAAGCTTTGCTGTCTTTTTTTCCTTTTTGAATTTAATAATACTTTACTTGAAGTAAACAAAGCAGCATATTGATATTTATGCAATTTTTTAACACCAGAACCATAACATTATTCATTGAGAAACAGTTCATTTTAATTTTTGTATATACACTTTTTCGTTTGAATTGATTTTAAAAAATTCTGTACTACATAAATTAAAGCAATATACATAGAAATCAGAATAAATAACTTCTAAGTGAATTAAAAGAATAATTTTGGGATGTAATAGCAGATATAGAACTAAATATGTAATTAAACCTATAAAAAGTAATGTAGACACAACTATGATTTTCGAGGAAGGAAGATGAATTTGAACAAAAAGGGTAATCAAAATAATAAACAAATGAGGAAGAAAGGATTGGAAATGGAAAATCACAGACAGCACACCAACGTTGATGAAAAAAAGTGAAAAGAAAAGTCAATAAGATCACGGGTTCACACATGCGTGTCCGCTAGAAAAGCCTCGTACTCTTACCACTCTTTCTCTCTCTATGTCTTGAAACCGAAGTGCCTCAAAGTTAGCTCCTTTTCCACTCTGAATCACTCTATTTATATTGGGTCTTTCCTCTGGTTCCTTCTGAGTTTTTGGGTTTGAATTGAGTTGGGAAGAGGTCGTAGATACAAGACATGTCTGGTGTTGAGTCTGACCACAACAACATCAAAGGGGTACCAACTCATGGTGGACGCTACATTCAGTACAATATCTATGGCAACCTCTTCGAAGTTTCCAGAAAGTATGTCCCTCCTATTCGCCCTGTGGGTAGAGGTGCTTATGGTATTGTTTGGTAAGTCAAAAGTCCCTTTCTTTTCTGGTGTTTTCTTTTGCTGAATTTATTACATTTGTTTTGTTGTGTGTTGCCTTTTGGGTAAAGGGGTTTTCTTGCTTTGAGCTATGTTGCTGTACTTTCCTATTCTGGTCTAGGATTAGCTGACTTTAGGAACAACGATTTTGTTACTGATCAAAACCCTTTTGTTAAGAATTAAGTAATTAACTTCCTTTGTTTTTGAATTCTGTCGTTCTTTTGTTATGTTTGGTCTGGTTGTTGACTTATTGAAGATTGGATTGGTTATTTTAGTTTGATTCTGAGGGAGACCAGTTTTGAGCTCAAATTGTTGCATTTTTCTTGTTTTTGATGTACAAATTGCCGTATCTTGATGGGATTCGTGTGTTACTCGTTCTCAGGCACTGTTTTTGTAGATTTTAAAATGTTGGCCAAGTGCGTAGACTTTCAAATCTCTTCCAATTTTGTTTTTTTATGTTTACTCAGTTGTTCATACTATAATTTTGCTGGAGTCAAAATGGAAAAACGAGATTAGATCATTCCTTTTTTGTGTCTGTGTGCTCCTGTGATACTGATGCTGTTAACAGCGTAGTTCTTTGTATTTCAAGATTCAATTGCACGGAGTACAATGTATATGTTCTGGATTGTGTATTAAATTTTGGGTCTGACTAGGAGTTCACTTTATTTTCTGTTATCAAAGATGTGTAGAACACTAACAATTTTTTTTGTTTCCTTCAGTGCTGCTGTAAATGCGGAGACAGGAGAGGAAGTTGCCATTAAGAAGGTTGGCAATGCATTTGACAACAGAATAGATGCCAAGAGGACCTTGCGAGAAATTAAACTTCTTCGGCACATGGATCATGCAAACGTAATTTTGATGCTTTTTACTTGCACTCATCTACAGCTTGTTTTCTTCCATGTTATTGTTTATTTGAAGTATTTACTTTCCTGTGAGACTATGTGAATTTTATTTGTCCTATTATTACTTTCTTTCTTCAGTTTATTCTTTGTTTCTTC